GTTTAGGAGCTAGGGTATTTAGTAGCAATTTTTCCTTCCTTCTGTTTAGTATTATAGCACTGTTTGACTTGTGATATTGCTAACTTGTTCTAAGGTCAACTGGAGTGAAGATGACTACATGGCTAACTTCAAAACATTTTGAAGGGTTGGGAAGTAGAAATGGTTTAACCTTGCGTGTAAAATGTTAACATAATCAGGTGGAATAAACAGTAAATGAAACTCAAGGAGCTTCTTAAAATATCTAAACCTGTAGCATTGCTTTAAATAAGTCTAAATTGTTTCCTAGCAATGACATTTTCCCCATAGCTGTAATATCTTAGTTGTCACTATGACAGATGTTTTCTTTGAGCAAATGACCCTTTTAAGTTAGATAATGTGAACCATAGCATGGTTGCTCTGCTATAGATTTTGTTTTCTGAAGAAAAACTTTCTTAAGAAAGCTTGGGATACTGTTGTTTTCTGCAATTTTATTTTTTAAAAATGGTTTTAATAACTGGGCTTAGTAAGATACAATAGAACAGACGATTTGAACAATTGCCTCTATAAATTTAAATATATTAATATTTAAAGCAGTTAACTGGAATGAATGTGATATGATAAAACATGAATTTAATTGGATATTTTATGTATGTATATATGTGTATATGTGTGTGTGTATATATATATATGTATGTATGTATGTTTGTATGTATGTAGCAACTCCATAAACCACTTCTTTTTTTATTGAAGGTATGATACATTTCATCGCATATTAAAGAAGACTGAAGAAAACGAAGACGGTCTCAACAAATTCACAAAGAGTTACCAAACATTTGGAATCAACAGATTCATAGATGGAGGATTATACTGTAAAGAATGGGCTCCTGGTGCAGAAGCAGTATTTCTTACTGGTGATTTTAGTAAGTATTTTCCAGCACATATGAGCTTCTTTTATTGTTATGGTGCTTCTAAAATCAGTCCTAATGTCATGAGTTTGCTTTCCATTTTGTTAATAAAACCAGAAGATAACACTTTAACTTAAAAATATATCTGATGTGTGTTTGTACTCAGCATAAGACAAGATCATTGAACTGTAGTTACTTAAATAAGTTTGGTAGGTATCAATTCTTGAACTTTGCATCTGGAGACCTACTTTCTTATCCAAAACACCATGAAATGTACTGGGTACCCTTATGATAGTTACCATGTTACAGTCTGAATGGGTAGTGACATGTACTGTACACAGTTGTGTGTAAAAGTTGCAGGCACTTCTGAAAAATAATGTTTCAATGAATTCCAGAGTGATCAAAAGCTGACTCAGCCGCTAAAAAGCAAACAAGAGTTGAATGCATAGATGTTATTTACAGACAGAGAAAAATAAAATAGTATGTCAGGTGGAAAAAATTAATTTCCTTTTCAGTCAATACTTTTTAATATTCCCTTTGAGATAAATAACACTTTTCAAACATTTTCTGTAGCATTCATCTTTTTTTTTTCATGTAAGTACTTCATGGATGGCTTAGAATGGCCTTTAAAATTCCCTGACTTGAATCACTGAAAATCTGTGGGGATATCTCAAATATTCAGTGCATGTAAGGAAGCCAATGAATATCTCTGAACTGTTTCACTATAGAGGTTATGTCATCTGTTTGTTAGGAATTCATTGAGACATACTATTTGGCCAAGGTATCTAAACTTCTATATGCAACTATATTTAATTATAAAAGTGCTTATATTATGCATATGCTAGCCATTTTTGCTTTTTGTAAAGAATCATTTATATTTCACAGCATAGAAGTTATCTATATGACTGGGAGTTTAAATCTGGAAAGTATGCAGCAATGGCAAAACTAATAGTATATATACATAATACAGATTTAAATAAATATAAGCAAGAATGATTCTCATACATGCAATGTATCATACAGCATGGTAAATATAATCACAATGTGCCTTCTAAGAGGACTTAAATATCTACAGTATGTACAATTTGGAAAATTAGCAGATGTACCAAAAGTTTAGGGCCCCAATAGTTTTCCCCCTTTTATTTATTGGTGGTTTTGCTAAATTGGATTTTTCATATTTTTTTCCTTTTATTAACATTTATACATCATATACATACACTACACACTCACAAGAAAAAGAGAGAGACTTCAGTATTAAGTAATTAGCTGAAGAT